CCTTAGTATCCTCTCCATGATCTTCCTTGGGATACTCGTGAGACTTACCGGCCGGTGATTTCCTGGATGACTCTATTCGCCCTTCTTAAAGATCGGTACGACGTTTGCTCTTCTTGCCGATTGCAGCCAGGTGCGTCACGATCGTGGACTGGGCACAGGCAAGTGCTGTCGCTAAGTCGCGGGTACTTTTCCTCGTATCGGCTTCCTCCTTTTGCTGCAACTGCTCGTCGTCGATTTCAGATGGACGGCCTGACCTGGGCTTATCCTCGAGGCTGTAATTTCCAGACCGGAAACGAACGATCGTAGCGCTGTCCTTTCATAAATTGCACCTCGGCCAAACGTGGCGCAGATGCGGCGACTCGATTCAGATGCTGTGACGCCAGATAGGAAGTTGTAAAGAAGGCACTGACGTTGGGCGGTCTTGGTTAAGTCCATTTTGGAAGTCATGGTTATAGGCTTTGAACGACTAAGCAACTGCTGCGTAATCACGCCTACACACCCTTTATATAATGCTACTGTGAAAGCTTCGAGAACGTTCTAGAAATTTTTTTTCTGGAAAATTTTGGAAACGGCCAGAACTTTCCGATCGACCGACCGCGACCGCGAACGCCGTGCTGAGGGTTTGCACTTCGCTGCTGTCGTACGAGCGCAAAAACGACTGGCTGGATTCCATTGTCACTGGAGACGAAAAGTGGACGCTCTACATCAACTACCGACGCAGGCGCCAGTGGGTCGATGCCGATGCCCAGCCAGAGTCGGAGCCGAAAGGTGACCTGCACCCCCGAAAAGTCATGTCGTGCATTTGGTGTGACGTGCAAGGCGTGATCGACTTCGAGCTGCTCCCATCCGATACCAGCATCACCGCCGCCTACTACTGCGATCGGCTGCAGAAGCTCGTCGACAAACTTTGCACGACTTTGCATGGTGAGGCCAGGACACCGTCGTGTTCGATTCCGCCACGACTACGCAAGGCCGCATGTCGCGAAGATCACACGGCAGAAACTGCTGGATTTGGGCTGGGAGGTTCTGCCTCACCCTCCGTATAACCCAGATCTGGCGCCAAACGACTACCATCTCTTCTGCGCTCTGGACGACCATCTTCGTCAGAAAAGGTTCAACGATGACGCCGCGATCGGAAAACGGCTGACTGATTTTTTTCGACTCACAGCCAGCTCAGTTCTACAGGGATGGAATCAAGAGTCTGCCGAAGGTGATTCACTGTGAAGGTGAATTCACTGTGAGGCAGAAGGTGATTCACTGTGATGGCGATTACTTCGTTGAATGAACTTCTTTTGCTTTTTTAAAAAACTCGGTTGTATGGAATGTTCTCAAACTCGGCTAGAACTTTCCGATCGACCCAATATTTTATTATGTTGGTGTTGGGTCTTTCTCTGCTGAGAAAGCCTGGAAACAGACCACGAAAAGCCATTCGCTACATGTGGCCATCCCAATGTTTTCGGATGACAATTGTCCGTAAATAACCTGAAATGCTATGATAATTGCCGCGGGAAGTAATGATTCCCCTTACGAAAATGTCTTATAGGAACCTAAAGGAATCCTATAGGTTCCTACATGCCCCATAGAGTTCAGTTTGGGACCTATAGAGCCCCCTATAGAACCGATAGGGTTCCATATAGAACCAATAGGGTTCCCCATAAGGCCTATAGGTTCCCTATAGGACCCGAAGGGTTCTGTATAGGACCGGTAGGGTTCCCTATAAAACCTGTAGGGTTCCCTATAGGACCTGTAGGGTTCGCTATAGGACCTACAGGATTCTCTATAAGACCTATGGGGTTCCCTATAGGGCCTATAGGGTTTCCTATAGTGCCTATACGGAACCCTATAGGACCTATAGGACCTATAGAGTTCCCTATAGGGCTTATACGGAGCCCTATAGGCCTATAGGGTTCCGTTTGAAGTTCTCTTCTAGACCACTAGATGGAAGTATTGGGTTCTCACATTTCTCAAAGAGCACAAAAGTTCCCTCCCCTTACCCAAGGAATCATCTCTCGCAAGAGAGTTATGTACGTCCCCAAATGTCTCGCCTTGCCTCATTGTAGCAATCAATAAACTTCGACAGTTCCTTATGTGTCATCTCCATCTTCTAAATAGAATCATTGAGTGCCATGAAGAAATATGCCTTTATTCCTTTTGAAAACCACGTACGACACAAGTAGACTCTATGCAAAAAGTTTCAGTAAAGAGACGTGTTCGCAGGTTAAGAGAATAGTACTACTTCTTCCTACCGAAGGAAGTAGACGTGCAATCCAGCAACACATGGGCGGCAGGGCCGTAAGTTATGCAGACTCCCGCATTACTGGTATTGATGATGCGTGTGTCCCTACCATGGAAAAACTCTTAATCGGTTTTTGATTTACACCGAAATGCTGCGCCATTATTAACCGCGGTCGCCTTTTCCGTCGTAATGCCTGGGTTTCGAAACCCAAAATATCCTCCCCGAATCCTATAGGTCAGGAGACCTATAAGACCCTATAGGGATNCGAAACCCAAAATATCCTCCCCGAATCCTATAGGTCAGGAGACCTATAAGACCCTATAGGGATCCTATAGGATCCTAAAGGATCCTATAGGTTTTTCGTGTTTCAAAAACCTATAGGAAAGTCTATTGGTTTCCTGTAAGAAATATCTATAGGTTTCCTATAGGACATTTCCGTAAGGGGCATTCGATAACACCCTCACACAAAACGCATGAATATTGAAGTCATGAATAGACTGCCGGAAACTACTTCCGAAACTGCCTGCGACCTTTTCGAGGGCCGCCTCTGGTGATCTGTGAAATACGCTTTTGAAGGGTGATTGCTATCCATTGTACTTTTATCAAATGTTACGGATTCTCTTATTGCATTTATTAAAGGTATTAGAGGTGTTTCGAGCCTGGACTTGTTATTGCGCGCATTGTCAGTATATTGAAGGAAAGAAATTCACTTCAGTTACCATATTTTATTATTCCGCTTCATCTGGCTCATACACGAATAAGCAATATTCGGAGATTTTAATACCAGCAATAGACGGGGTCGTAACATAGGCCACCTTTGTATCCATACGATGTGCAATAATTGTGCAAATAGAGTGCGCTCCAGGGACCGCGATTCATGGATGGAACTTCGTAAACTGTTGGAAGGAAAAAATCAATTATGAAATCACAATATCGAGGTAACTCGATGGAAGATCCTACTGAAGATATTTCATATGCCTAGTAAACATATCTAGAAACATTAAGAAGTTTTTTTTTTAAAGAAACTTTAAATTTGAAGGACTTGAATATACCTAGGTATGCTTCTGCAGAGACGATCCTTTCTTTAAATGTCACGTGAAGATAAAAATCCTATCATCCAATAAAGTCAGTGCTGACTTTAATGAAACAGATGTAGCCAATGAGGATGGCCATCAGGAAGGTTACATAAGCACGTTTGATCGGATTCACGAAAAATACATGATCGATGCTGAACTCACGGGTAGAATTGGGAGGTGAGGATGGAGGCTTAACGGCAACAGCAGTTCCTGAAAGTCAAATCAGTCACACATCATTATTTTAAATTGGGTTTTCCAGACGTTTCGACTGATGGGAATGTCCCAGTCGCGAAGAACGAGACGGGTGAGCTGAAAAAATTATTTTTAATGATGATTGACGGCCACATTCGACTCTTCAATCTGCACGAACACATTGGAATCAGATTATCTGATGAGGACAATTTGAAACCTAATCGCATGAAATGAGTTTTTTCTCATGACTATGGGAATGCGTACGTTGAGAAACTCAAACTGGCCCTTTACAGATGAATAGAACTAAGATAAAAAAAATTATATTTCAGCACTTGTTTAATTACCATGAGTTTCACTCACCAGTGCCAAGGAACATGGCCGATGCGATGATCAGAAATGCTGCAAACATCATTTTGGCTTCTTCAACCTCACAAGTTCTATAATGAAATATAAGTAATGTTCGTCGATGCACTCAAAAAGAAAACAGCCCCTTTACGTATCAAAGCGGGTTAGAATATATTTTGTTTTCCATAAATCTAATAACATTAATATTAGCTTCTTGCTTTTGTGGGTACAAAAGGAAAGGGAATGCGCCATTGAAGACATCATTCATTCATTCATGAGCAAAAATATGTTACGTTCTGGAACATTGGCCAATGGCACTAGACAAGATTGACCTAAATGGAGTTAATGTTCTCTATCGAACAGGGTCTATCAGCTGCGTATGTTAAAGTGGTCGGTTTGCAAGAACTGTGGTCAACCGTTCTGCAGCAAATAGAGGATTAATTTTAAGTTGAGGTGTTTATTTAGGAGATGATTCAGCCTATGTATGACCCGCGAGACCAAGGTGGTCTGTCGGCAATCCTGGTGGTGGCCTGGTGATCAATTTCAGGGAATTTAGTGCCCCGTCAAATTTCCGGTAATTGTTAAACTCCTATTGGACGTATCTATGATGAAGGAAAATCGTTTTTCCTCTGTCAGCGATGAACACTCTCAATCATCAAATTAGTTCAACAGGTAGTTACTGAGAGACATTGCATCATGGAAGTTCGCCCGTGAGAGATACAGAAGTGCTCGGTAGGCGAAAATGTGTTTCAGTTCTTCCCTCACACTTCATTGCATTACCAGCATGTAAATTTCTCAAAGGTCCTCCCACAGAAAGCAATTCGACATATGAATCCATGTGGCAATTGACGATATATTCATATCACAAGTGAAAATCTCAGCTGCAGGATGGGCAAATGCAGACCAAGAAACGGCAAATAGAGAAGACCAAATCATTCTCAAAAATGGTATTTATGAAAAGAGGTTCTGAGTGAAGGAAGTAAACTTGCTTCGTATGACACAGAAGTGAAGCAACGAGGGGGCGGCGATGTTTCGGATGAGCTCGGTCGGTCGCTTTGGAGTTGTGTTCGTGAATGCGACCTGCACAGTCTTATAAAGGCCAGAGTGCCTGGAAACAAGCAAAAAAAAAGGAAATTCTGCAGGATGCTATCGCCCACTGGTGGTTGCATAGAAGTGCGACCGATGCCTCTGCGCAACATGCGCATTACCAAAGAACGCCATTTCCCTCATACTACGAAATTAGCACAGATGTAACCAATCCTCTGCAAATGTGATTCCCAGTCCAATGGTTTTTACTTGCTGTAGAGGGAGACGCGATCGTAAGAATATGTACAGTACTTTTTATTGCCACTCTACAGGGTGGGCCAAAAAAAAATTGAACAATTTTGGAAAGATCATTTCTCCCAAGCATTTGGCCAAAACTTAAAAATGATGATATCACTGTGTAGGCCATTCAATTCTCCACAAAAAAGAATTAAATCTTAAC